AGTATCGAGATGCCCGAACTCGGTCTGCTACCAGAATTGGGTCCGAAAAACTAGTCGTACTTTGTTCACTTTTTTGAGATGGTGATGAGTTTTCTTCATTGGGAGCCGACGGTAAACCGTCAACCTTGGTTACCGCCGGGAACTCGTAGAGCTGCCTCGATATACATGGATGGAAGGCGGGCGCGGCAATATCGCATTCCGCGCGCGCGAGGGCGCGTCTTCATGGAGGAGGACTGGAGCAGAAGAAGGAGCGAGGGGAAAGGAGATCGAGAAGGCTGAGGAAGAGAAGGAGGAGGAGAAGGAGCAGGCGGAGGCGAAGGAGGGAGAGAAGGAAGAGCAGAATGACGAGCAGGAGAGGGAAGGGTGGAGGGGAGGAGAGGGACGATGATAATGACGATGAGAAGAAGGAAGATGAGAAGAAGAAAGGGGAGAAGAGCAGATGGAGAAAGTGGAGAGGAGCAGATGAAGAAGGAAAAGGAGGAGAAGGAGGAGAAGGAAGAGAACGAGGAGCAGAAGTATGATTGGTTTTTCTGGTTCCAGCTCTGGTAGCGGACTGATTTCAAACATGTAGATACTTGCACCGAGCGCTCATGATGATCTCCGTCCAATTCTTGCGCCGAACATCTCCAATCTTATATGCAGCTCGAGCTACATCAAGAAAGGCATCATCATCTCTGATAAAGTAATAGACTGCGGATAGTAGTGGGGGCCGGCGGCAAACTGTCAACCTTGGTTTTGCGGTCTTTCTGGTCGACTGCGCGGGCCGCCAGGCCCAGTCGCAAGCAAGAAGCAGGCAACATACAGAGTCAGCCAAGACACCCAACACTCCTTGAGCGGAAGTGGGCAAATGCAGAACTCTTATTCCGAACAAAATGAAGAACACGCGGAGCTCTTATACCAACACGCGCGCATGCACGACACACACACAGCATGGCAAGAGTCAACGCAAAAACAAAGTCCGAAGTATGTCAAAACCGTAGAGGCAACCTTGGTTACCGCCGGGAACTCATAGAGCTTCCTCGTGGAATGCGGGCGCGGCAACGTCGCACTCCGCGCGCGCGAGGGCGCTGTTTCATGGAGGAAGACGTGGAAGGGGAGAAGGAGCGAGGAGGAGGAGGAGATGGAGGAGGCCGAGGAAGAGGAGGAGGAGAAGAAGGAGCAGGCGGAGGAGAAAAAGGGGGGAGGAGGAAGAGCAGGCTGACGCGCAGGAGGGGGAAGGGTGGAGAGGGAGAAGAGGAACGACGAGGATGATGATGAAGAAGAGGAAGATGAGAAAAAGGAGGAAGAGAAGGCAGGTGGAGAAAGAAAGAGCAGATCACGAAGGAAGAGGAGGAAGAGAAGGAGAAGAAGAAAGAGGCCGAGAAGCAAGAGCACGAACAGTTGTTTGGTTCCGGCTCACGAATAGTTTTTCGAGCCCCTCTGGAAGCAGAACGAGTTCGGGCATCTAGATACTCGAGACTAGCGCTTCTGCTGATTCCCTTTCGGTTGCTGCGACGAACAGCTGTGGCTCATCTGCAGCCCGAGATGCATCACGAAACGCCTGTTATATATACATTGAAAGAAAAGTACGGATATGTTTGTCTGACCTAGCTCTGGTAGCAGAGCGAGTTCGGGCATCTAGATACTGTAGACTAACGCTCCTGGCGATTGCCTGTCGATTGCTGCGCCGAACAGATCTGTAGCTCAGCCGCAGCTCGAGTCACATTGAGAAACTCAGTGTCAGCTCTAGCAAATGAGCAGAGTACGAATAGTTTTTGCGGACACAGCTCTGGTAGCACACCGAGTTCGGGCGTCTAGATACTTGAGACTAGCGCTCCTGATGATTTCCTTTCGATCGCTGTACCGAACAGCTCTGTAGCTCATCTGCAGCTCGAGCTTCACCAAGAAACTCACCCCTCTCCAAAAAAAACAGAGTACGAATAGTTGTTCGAACTCCCGCAAGTCGCAGACCGAGTTTGGACACCTAGATACTTGATACTAACGCGCCTGATGATTCTAGATGGATTAGGTGTGCCTGACAGCTCTGTAGCACATCTACAGCTCGAGCTAAGTACAGAAAACCGGCAGCACCTGTCAAGATGACACTAAACAGCCGATCCCACCTGGATGCTTCTTGGCAGTTAAATGTACCCGATCGAGCTCAGATCAAGATGGCGAGCGGGATCCAAATCAAATATTAGGAAAAATACTAGAGCTCAAACGAATTTTCAAATTTCGAGAACTTCGGATTTAATAAATCACTCAAACAATTCCAGCGATATTTGTTTTGCCAACTGGGAGCCGGCGGTCAACCGTCAACCTTGGTTTTTGCGTTTTCGTAGCGCTCACTGTGCGAATGGCTCACCCGCAGCGCAGCGTCTCGCGCCTCCAAACGAGGCCCTTCCCGAGACACAGCCTCGAGCCTCCAAACGAGGCAATGCACCGAAGTCTCCAAACGAGACCCCGACCACCACACAGCCAAGAGTAACACCAACGTGCTTCCAGGATGGGGACGTGCAAGCGAAGCTAAAATAAAGAAACACAAAAGTTGATTGAGGTAGCAACTCCGAGCAATGAAGTGTGCACTTGTGTACATAACAAAATAAAGAAGAAACAACTCAGCGTAGCTGTGAATATATAATGACAAATGGCGCCCCTCCATCCGAAGAGTGGGCCTCAATA